ATATTGGTCCCTTGTGAATATTTTTTTAAATATCCAATGCTCAGTTTCACAGATATATTACTGTATTTCCAATATAGATTAAATATGGATAAGACATTTAAAAAGTCACAAAAGAATGTAATTGACAAGTGATTAATGTCAAATAAACTCTTCTTTCTTTAAATAGGCAAACACTGATATATAACAATCTTTTGGAAATCATGTATTAGATTAAGCATGGGTAAACTCAGTTCTAATAGTGAGACATAAGTGGAGAAGCTTATTTCTGATTGATTGCTGATTTTTGGAAGCAGCTGCACTTATGTCTATTTAGGACCCTGCAGAGAAACAGCTAGCACAGAAACAGGATCCCTGATTGGAGGCTTGTGGCGGCCATTTTTCTGAATGACTAGATCCAGCCTTGGTACCTACTTTGGTGCAGAATGTTTTCAAGTTTCTGCTTCATTGCACTGCAACTATTCAGTTCCAACATCACTGTTTCAAAATGGCAATAGATAACATCGAAATGAATAAACATGACAATATATAATTTTTATATATTAATACTGGAATTTTATATATGGTGACCACATCTTTGGGAGCAGCCCTTTATGTATGCATTTCCATTTTCTACCAAAACACAAACCAACCAACACACAAAGTAGTTGAAACAGTGATGTTGGAATTGAATAGTTGCAGTGCAATGAAGCACAAACTTGAAAACATTCTGCACCACCTCAATTTATAGAAAATACTATTAAGCCTTTGGGTACCGAAAATGATTAGGAGGAAGGTTTATAGACTTTGTCTTTACATTTGGCATCTATTTCAGGACTTTGTAGCCATGTTAATGATTATAATAACTGACAGAAATGATTAAAACAAAACTATCTCTAGTCAATGGATGCATGATTCAACAAGACAGGCTTAAGAGGTTTTGCCCTTTTTAATAGTGTGTCTTCCCTTCCCGTGTTAATTTGATAAGTACATACTAATTCTGGAATAATCTTTTGTTACTATCATCTGAAATGGTATAGTTAAATCACTACACATACACAATTTAACATATGTACAGGGACATCTTTCTGAAGTAGGATTCTTAGTGACAAATAACTAAATCAAATTTAGTAGACTTTTATTGATCCCTATCCATAGGTGGTATAGTATTTTAAAATTTTGACAGTAAGTAACCAAAGTAGCTGCTTTTATAGGGATGCGAAACATTTTGTACAACATGTAATTTTGTAAATATGACAGTTTTTTTCAAAGAAGACATCGTAAGAATTTAATTTGCATTTCTGTTATTGGTAAAGAAGATGATCTTTACCTATGTTAAGACAGTATCATCATTTTGAAATAGTATGTCTTCCTTTTGGTATTCTTTTTCAGTTGATTCAATGTATCCATATATGTTGTCCTCCATATAATAGATATGTTCATTCTTCATAAATATTTAAAAATAACATCTTTATTCTTGAAAATTTCATACATATACACAGTGAAATATGATCTTGTGTACCTCCCAGTTTCCTCACAAACTTCTCCCATATCCTCTCAACAATTACCCCTCCCAGCTTCACTTTATTTCCTTCTCCTCCTCTTCCTCTTCCTCTTCATCTCCATCCCCTGTCTCCTCTACCTCCCCCACTCCTCCTCCTCTTCAATTAATTAATAATTTAATTTTGTGTGTGCTGGTAACTTACTTGTCAATTTGACACACCCGTATAAAGGGATCCTAGACTGAGGAATTGCAGCCATTAGATTGGCCTGTGGTGTGTCCATGAGTCATTTTCTTTGAGTGAGGCGGGAGGGTCCAGTTCACTGTGGTCAGTGCCACACCTGGGCAGGTAGTCTTGTTTTGGATAAGAAAGCAGGTTGATCATGAGCCAGGTCAGCAAGTCATTAAACAACTATCCTCCAAGGTCTGTTGTTCAGATTCCTGCCCTGGCCTTGGCTTCCCTTGATGATGATGATGATGATGTACTGTAAGCTGAATAAACCCTTTCCTCCTCAATTTGGTTTTGGACAGTATTTTCTAACAGTAATTGAAAGAAAATAGAACAATGTGTATGAGTCTTAGTATGGATATAGATACACTAGATGCATGCAATCCTGTGGAGGCCAGAAAAGGGCAATGGATCCCCTAAAACTGGATTTATGGAACAGTTGTTTGTAGCCGTGTGGGTGCTGGGAACTGAACCAGGATCCTCAGGAAGAGCAGCCAGTGCTCTTTACTGCTCTGCCATCTTGCCAGCCCTTCTTTTTTCTATAGCCTGCTGAATCTAATTAACACTGTTAAATTCATGGGTATTGGATCGTGGACTGAAGCAGGGGAAACCTACAATTGGCTACACCTTGAAGAAACAATTGTACCTCCCCCATTAGCTATCACCTGACAATGACTCCTCAGTATGGGGTTGGGCCTGGAGCTCTCCTCCCCTATCAATGTTGGAAATTTTTTTATCTTGGTCTTTTGTAGGTCTTGTGAAGGTAACCACAGACACTATGAGTTCATAATGTGATAGCCATATTGTGTCCAGAAAACAGTTTCACAGCATTCCTCTTCATGGCCTTACTCATATTCTCCCAAAATGTGCTGTGAGCCATGTCAAGAAGTGGTGATAAAGATGAGGGCTAAGTACTCAGGTCATAGTACTGTGACCAGTTATACATCTCTGCATTGATCTCTACACACTGCAAAAAGAAGCTTCTCTAACCAAGGTTGTGAGCTGCCCATGTCTGTGGGTACAAACATAATTATTTAAAAGATAATTTGATAATATTACCATTCTACAAAATAACAATTACTTATTTTACCCTAGGGCATATGTTTGACCTCTGTAGTCATGAAATTTCACCCAAGATTATAGTACCAGGTGTCATATTCCCTCCTGTAGAGCAGATCTCAAATTCAATCAGAAGGCTGCTATTTATCCCATAACAGTATCATCACTGTTGCACAAGTAGACAGATCTTATCTGGCAGACCCATATTCTAGCATAGAGGGTCCCATGCTGGATAGGAGCATTAATGTATTTCCTCTCCCAGCACCCTATATAGCATCATCCTGCACTCTGAAAACTAGCCAGTAGGGAGGGAATTTCCTGGTAGTGTTAAAATTGCTGTACTTATGTCTTGCAGTCAAAGTGTATGACATTTTCAGTGATAGAGTCTTTGTTATGGGGTAGCCAAGGGCAATGGATATATCACGTGTTATTTTGAAAACCTCTTGTGTTTACCTGATCAATAAGTCATAAAGATATATCCCATGGCAGGCACTGCAATTTTAACTTAATAAACCATGCCTTCTGGGAGCACCTTGGTCCACTTTTACAGAATAATTCCATTAGAACACTGCTTTCAGTTAGTTTGAAGTTATCTTAGTAACTATTGGGTTCGTATAAGGCTTTTTCGTACATACATCCTTAGGGTCAGTTAACCTATTCACTACCTTCTCCTCTCTTCCATCCCTCACATATGTTCCTATGTAACACTTAAACCATCAGTGGTCTCCTCTCTGTCTAATATCACATGTATTCTACTTTACCTCAAATTATATTTTTAATAGCTTTGTAAAGTAGGAAGCCTTGACCTGGCTTTCCATACATACTTGTTTAGAGTTAGTCTTCTCCCTGACCCTGTTATTTCCTACATACCTCCCTTGCTTAAGTATGTTGACTTTCCTATCTTCATTTTACTCATAATCTACTATACTTCTCCATTCATGTGTACCAAACAAAGGCCGTTTCTACTTCCTGGAGAAAGTATGGCTTATAGCCTATGTTACTTCCCTCAGTATAATAGTTTTCCAGTTATATCCAGTTACCAGTTAATTTGTCTTTTTTAACAGCTGAATCATATGTCATTGTCTATATGTTCAACATTTTTCTGTTGATGAAGATCTCAGTTGATTCTCCTTCCCAGCTACTGTAAACAGAGTGATGATGCACATGTGTGTGTCTCTGTGGAGGGACACAAAGCCCTTTGGATAGATGCTGAGGAGTAATATAAATATACATGCAGACTGATTTCCACAGTGGCAGGAGGTGTTTACATTCCCACCAACAGTATATAAGGGTTCCCCTTTCATTACATCCTTGCCAAAATTTGTCTTTTGAGTTCCTGATAATGGCCATTCTGTCCAGGGTGAGAGGGAATCTT